CAGCATTACTTTATTACACGTACTGGTTTGCCAAGAGCTTCAGCAGAAGTGAGCATACCCTTTCCTCTCTTTTTCTGCTCGGCTGTATCTGGCTCGGCTGTATCTGCTGCAAGTGATCAATCGTGTGAATTGTTGGCTTCCCGGACTTCGCTATATTTTTTTATTTCTGGGATTTTCAGATTCAGACAAGCCTTCTACTCGCATGATTACCATATTTGTGGAAGAGGTGACCATTCAAAAACTTCTGAATGCAGCTCACAACGCCAGCCTTTTCATGTTGGTTACTCTTCCTTACTTGTTAGTTACACCGCAAATTTTCTGTTTTTTCAGAAACACAGTCGAAAGCCCTTTTCTACAAACACAATGTGATGTACTTTGCATTGGAACATTGATGCCAGAACTATCAGAAGCGATGCCAAATTCTTCTCTGGTAGCCCAGGTCAGTCAATCATATCTACGGAACTTCCATCCCTACAAAGTAGAGGAAATTTTTTTTGAATCGCCAATTAAGTAGCGTTCTCATGCAGACAAAGGGTCCGCTTTAGGTGTCTGCACTTACTGCTCCATTGATCTCTTTATATGAAGGCCAAGCGGTCGTCTTTGTCAACGCTTCACTGAATGTAGGTTGAATTTCATGCTTGAACAAAAAATGGATTTCAAATTTTTTTTTGGACTGCTAAACAGCTTTGGAACTTTTTTCCTACGAAATTAGCCTTGCAGAAAAACTGTATGTCACGCCACTGTAGGTTGCCTGTGGTCGCCACTTGTGCTTCTCAGTCAGTAGGGGTCTTGTAAGAGCAAGATTCCGATGAGTTTGCCCTCATGTTGGGTTGGAAACATTGTCAAACTCGTTGGGGGCGTGGGACCATCGCACTCGCTATAACTGCTTGAGCGAAGGGCAGAGTGATGATTTGATGAATTTGAGGAGCATTCGCCTCCGAGCTGTTACCGTGCACATACATACTCCTCTATCCTTTCTCCATTTTTTAGTACCCCTCCACACCCTCTGCCCCCCTCTCTTTCCCTGCCACCCTCCCACTCACACCTCCCTTCATCGTTCGTTCCCTCGAATAGTGAAGCACGAAAAAGGAGGATGGGAACGATGGGAAAAATCGGGGTACCCATAGGGTATACTTCCATGACGCCATATTTCGTCTGGTTGCGAGTTGCAAGCGAGTACCTAAAGAATTGGGAATTACGGGATTTTCCTCGTCATCCCATTTCTTTTGCAAGGGACTTCCAGATTCTTCAATCAGTTTACTGTACCCGTTTCGAAGGGATTCTCGGACTGTATGCGAAGCCCTTGCATTACATGTGTACCATGGTAGAAAGGATATCGAAATAGGCTTGTCGCACTGAAAAAGAGTAGCCGACCAAGTAGTCAACTACCTATGTACGTCTGCGCTCTCTCACCAGGAACATGATGGTGATTTTAGAGCAAGGCAGTGAGACCTTTCTCGTTCCAGTACATCGCGGATCAGTATTATTCATAATAACTGATTTTCACCTACAATTCCGGAGCAAACTCGTTCTCCTTTCTGCGAGTGCTCCAACAAACTTCTGGCTCATCTGTTTCAATCAAAAGGGGTGATGCTTCCTTAGAGGAAAAGCGCAGGCGGGTAGGTAGATAGGACATACAGTAGCGCTCAAAAGTCTTCGGTGAAATGGTTCTTCAGCCGCACT